ATATATATATATATATATATATATATATATATATATATATATATATATATATAGAGAGAGAGAGAGAGAGAGAGAGATATAACATAATAGCCTTTAATACCAATAACGCTAATAATGACAATACTCATCATGTTAGTGGCGGAGGTGAGTTCTTTGTCGGCAAGTATTCAGAAAAATCTGAAGAGGCACATAATCGTTGTGTGAATGTAGATTAGTGATTGATCAGCCATCTTAAGTGGAAGTAATTTTGCAGAGTGCACATCTCTCTCTCTCTCTCTCTCTCTCTCTCTCTCTCTCTCTCCCCTCTCTCTTTATAACCACCCACCCACCATCTTTTCTTTTCCCTACACCCACCATCCCAACCCCGGTAATTGGCGGATTAATGCCATTCATTTCTCTTCGCAACTTCCGCTTTTATGTGCCCTCCATTTTGTTTCTTCGTTCTCCGCTTTATTTAGACCTGCTTTCCCTCAACCTCCACCGCCACCGTGACATATGTGCCTCGCACATTTACAACAATCGAGGCGAGTGGCTATTGCTTTGTTGTGTTTCTTTTCTCACATTTTACTCTTGTGAATGCTTCTTTGTATTTCTCCCCATGCGTGCTTCTGAGGATTATTGGCAATTTGTAATCTCCAGGTCTTCTCTCTGTACGTACGTGCGTCTATGCCCGATCGTTCAATAAGTAACTTTTATTTTTATTTTTAATGTCAGCTGGTTGAATTTGGCGTCACTATATATGTACATAATGTGTTAGCTAAGCTAAATAATGTAATTTCGACGAAATACATACATGTATGCGTGTCTTTTAATGAATGTCTAGTATGCATAAAAAAAGATGTTTTATTAAAAGTATTCACATTGGTTACATTGATGGACAGCATTCTTTGCTTGAAACTCAAATATTCTCGCATCGATTATATCATACCATGATATATCAATAATTTATTTAAATTATATCTGTTCTGTCTGTCTCATTGTCTGGCATATATTAGGAAGATATAGATTTGTATGGATATATGCCTTTCTAATAAACAATACATTTATTTTAATTTTGTTTGTTTATTTGATTCTTACTTTCATGTTTCCTTTCTGTTTCATCTGCGTTTCTGTTTGCATCTATCTATCTATCTATCTATCTATCTATCTATCTATCTATCTATCTATCTTGCTAACTGGGGCAAAATTTGGTTTGTTAATTTTAACACACCCAAAACTGATCTGTTCTTCATAAATTCTCTGAAAAGAAACCTTTTCTTCTATCCATCACCATGGCTGGTGCTAACCTCCAAGAAAGTGACTCGTTGCATCTTCTATAGGCTAACGTTATCTATCTATCTATCTATCTATCTATCTATCTATCTATCTATCTATCTATCTTGCTAATTGGGGCAACATTTGATTTGTTAATTTTAACACCCCAAAAACTAAACTGTTCTTCATAAATTCTCTGAAAAAAAAAAAACACTTCTTTTCTATTCATCAACATGGCTGATGCTAACCTCCAAGAAATTGACTCGTTGCATCTTCTAGGGCTAATGTTCTCAGCTGATATGAAGTGAAAAGACTATATTGCTAGGCCAGCTGCTAAAAAATTTTATTCACTGTGACAATTTTTCTCTTCAGAATCTATCCTACATATTTATAATTCTACCTTTCGTCCACGCTTAGAATATTGCTGCCACATATGGTCCGGTTCTTTTGCCATTTATATATTCTTTTCTTTTTAGGTGCTATGTCCTTTCAGGACGTAGGCCATCATGGCTCCCCACCTCCCTTGCAGCTCTCAACAAGTTCCTCCCCTCTGCCATTTCTCCATTTCAGCCGCCTCTTCCTGATGTTAAGTATAAGCCTCCTCTTTGTTTCCATCCTCTCGTCATCGTTACTCAAACGTTCGGTCCATGATATCCTCAGCATCATTCTGTAGAGCCACTTCTCCTTCGCCCTCGAGTCTCTTCTTCATATTTGAGGAAATCGTCCAACATTAGTTGACATAAAGAACAACAGATGTCACGTAACAGCTAAGGATTCTTTTCTTTGTTACCAAAGAAATCCTTCTGTCTCGCTATACCCTGCCCAGATTTTGGAATGCGTCCTTGGCCATCCCAAATACATGTACGGATGTCAGTGTCGCATCTACCGTCCTCTGACAAAACCCTTCCCAGATATTTAAACTTCTGCGTCGGCTTGATTCTAGCGATCCTGACCTGTAAATCGCATCTCGGGCTCGTTTTTATTGATGCCCATACATTCTGTCTTCTTGTAATTTATGATTAGTCCCTTCTTCCCGCTTTCCTTCGCTACCTTCTGTAGGAGGTTTTGTAGTTTCTTTTCCGTGTCTGCTATCAGTACTAAATTCCAGTAGGGTTTCCAATTCTCTCAGGATTTCCTCGCTGTATCGGTTGAACATGTCGGGTGAGAAGACGCATCCCTGTCTTACGTCCCTTTCTATTTTTGTATATTCGCTGAAGTCGTTCCATATGCGCATGAATGCTGTTTGCTGCCAGTATTGTTTCTTGATTATTCGACATCTTCCTCGAATATATCATGCTGATCTGACGTCTTGTCTTTAGCCACATTTCCACAGCCGTACAGTTACACCTTTGCCTTTTCTATAAATACTTTCATGGTAATTTTTCGGATGTGCTCTTCTTGTATCTAGAATTTACTCATTTATGCGCAGAACTAAACTGGTGAAGTGATTTCATAAATTTACAGTTGAGCTGGCTAGATGTAAAGTTTTCAGAGAACATTTATTTTTGGTCGCAATCCTCGATTTACTCCTGTTCTATTTTTTTTCTATTAACTTTGGCCTGTTAAATGCAATGTCAAGCGTTATGTTTTGAATTTAATTTTTTTATTCCCTATGCTGCGACCAGGTACTGAATTCAAAACGTCACATTTTCGATTACTTCAATAACGCTTTTATTTACTGTGACATGTGTCCTTGGAGACATTACCTGAGTGGAATTACAAAAAGCTACCCTCGTCGACTAAATAAAGGGTTCGTTTGGAAATTCCAACTCATATCAACTGAAGAAGGCCGTGGTGTACAACTGCCGAAGCGTCGTTAATATGGCAATAAAGACGAAGGCAACAGTCCAAAGGATATAAATAATGTAACTAGTTACAATACATCATCTCAGAAATATAGAAAAATCTTACTCATCTCTCTCTCTCTCTCTCTCTCTCTATATATATATATATATATATATATATATATATATATATATGTATGGTATTTTATGTAAATATATATCTTCGTTTGACAATAATTCTTTCTAATAATCTTGTTTTTTTTCTTTATTATTGTTATATATTATTTATATAAAAATCTAACTAATATATTTTATGTTTTATTTATATTTCTGTCCACATCTGAAGAAAAAAAAACTTACTTTCGTTCATTACTTTCTTATATAAAGTAATTCCTTGCGTTATTAGTTAATATCATTTGTACAATTGTCATTCCTAAAATATTTCATCCCAATGCTGCATATTTGAATGAATCTGTCTGAATTCGAAGCACTTTAGATGTTTCCATAGTCAATAATACGAGAATGTGTTTAGAGGATTGCTGATATTTACAATGAAAAAGTCAGCTGACACGATGCCATTTATTAATTTAAATGATTCAGATGTTGCATCCATTTGCATTCTGAGTCGGGGCATGATTTTCGCTCAAAGGCACTCAAAATAAGATCTTAAGTATTAGAAGAACATTTTTTTTTTCAGCTGACTGGTTAAGTAGGAATATGTCTTTCACCAGCGGATATCGAAAAAAATGAACGAGTTAGAATTAAAAGTGTAATTACAGAAAAAAAATTCTAAATTACGCCAATGGTAATCCGTTAAATTTTAACTCCCTCCACCCCCCCGTCTTCTCTCTCTCTCTCTCTCTCTCTCTCTCTCTCTGTCTTTGTGTGTGTGGGAACATGATTTTCGCACGAGATTTCCTAAGATGAAACTGACTTAGCATATTAGGTCTTCGTACCGGATCTATAAACGCACACAGACGTCTATAAATTATATACAAATACATTTAAATATCTTGCATAACCTCATATATATATATATATATATATATATATATATATATATATATAGATAGATAGATAGATAGATAGATAGATAGATAGATAGATAGATAATATTAGTGGAGTAAGGATATAATAAAAAAAGGCTTAAACACTAATATTCCATGGTCATAATTTATTCCATTGGAATCGTAAATACGATCCAATTCATCAGACCTACAAATTCAAAAAGAAAACAGAAAAAAAAACAACTCCACAAATAATAAATAATTACATATATATATATATATATATATATATATATATATATATAAATATAATATAAATATATATATAATATATATATAAAATATTATTTATTTAAAAATTATAACATAAATATGTTATAAAATCACTACAAAAATAGCCATTTTGTTTCAACTCCTCTGGTGTCTTATCAAGTAATATATATATATATATATATATATATATATATATGGGCGGGGTTGGAGTTGTAATTAGAAATTATATATAGAAAATATAAACAACTTAAAGAAATATAAGAGACCCTTTCCTTTCTTAGATGCAATTGTGCATATCACAACTTCAAAGTAAATTACTCTCTTCGATTATATATCATTTCTCAGTTGCGTCTCTGCCTTTGCATAGAGTGCACTTAGGTGCGACTATGTCGACTGACAGAGTTGTAACTGAAGAAAAAATACCGTTAGGTAGAGAGGAATCGGTGTTCGCCTCGAGGCTAGGGTTACCAACTGTTGTGGGGTCTCAAGAGTTTTTGTTCCTAGCCCGAGTCTACGCGCTCGAGCTCCCTTCTTTAAAACGACCTCGTGAGGGTTTTAGTTAGTATAGAATTGCAATAAACTTAATTTGAAACTAATAAACACTCTTAGAACCGAAAACCAACTGAGGTAACTATAATACTAAAATGTAATAAGTAAAAATATAGTCTAAGAAATAAAATGAATATGTAAATAAATAAATAAAAGCAATATTAAGTCACTACATAATATAAAATGAATAACATATGTTTTAGATTAAACACACACACACACATATACATACATACATATATATATATATATATATATATATATATATATATATATATATATATATATATATATATAATATAGTGAAATATTTGTCGAATTGGATCCATTTCAGCTCGAATGTTGTCATTGTTTACGTTAGCTTATCTTTCGGAGCAGAAACGAAATATTGAGAAAATTCGTTGAAGATGTGTGTCTATAAGCAGTAATTTTAACTTTGCTAGCCAGTTCTCTGTGGCTAAATGCTTAACTGCACGTCAGGCTAAATTACGGTTATCATATGGGATACAGGTTCGATTACTGTCCACAAACGCGTTTTGTTTTTAATGAAATTTCTCGAACATTCAGGCCGGTAAATATAATTACTACTATTTAATTAAAACAAAACATTTACTCAAATAAAAATTGTCCATAAAAATAACGTAGAGACAGAAAATATATTAAAACTCTTGTTGGATTTAATCCATTTCATCGAATATATATATATATATATATATATATATATATATATATATATATATATAAAGATATAAAGATTGTACCCATGCCGTCAAAATTGAAGGAATGTACAATAAGTAATATGTATTATAATGTAAGTA